GGTGCGCTGACGGGGCCTGCGCTTGCACTAACTGCGGGAGGCACTTTCGGAAGAAAACCGCCCTACTGCAGGGCTGTGCCGGTAAGTACGCCGTTACAAGTCTGAAGGTGAGTTGCGCACTCGTTACTGTCACGCCAATGAGTCTCCCTGACTGATGCTTGACTGCGTCGGTTGATGTCACACCATCTTTGAAAGACAGCACCGCAACCCCCCCCGCACGTTCACTTTTCTCAACCGCTACTATTGCCGCTGGCTTAAGCTGCGTCTAGAAGTTGTGGTCTTCTCCTTTCCTTGTGTCAGTGAGCACCACCACGTCTACTAGTGTTTGAATCCATTACTGTGCGATGTTCTCTTGCCGTTGCCACCAAGGCCATTGACGTTGACCTCACAAATAGTAAGTCGGTTGTTGTTACCCATTATTCAACTGTAAGGGAGCCCCACTGCATCCACATGCTTGATACAAAGAAACATCTCCTACCCATCTCTGCGTGTCCTTGTCAGGTAACTCTGCGCACAGCTTCTGCGTCACCTCCTCTCCTGCTCCCTCTACATGCCGTACTCGTTGCGGATCGGAATTACCTTCAGTTTCCCCTTGCTCGCACGGCTGGCAGCGCCCCCCTTCAGGAGCGCAGTACAGTGCTGGACAGACTTCACGTGAGCCTCCGCCTGTGTGAAGCTGGTGCCATGTGCCTTGCCGCACTCCTCCTGCACGCAAATCCAGTCCTCCAGACTTCCTCCAGTGGAGATCAGCACCAAAGCCGGGTCGCGCAGGATCTTCTTCATGCGAGCGTCGACCTTGTGGGACGCAGCTGCTCACGCAAGGGGCGACGGAGCCGTCAGCGAATCCACCATGGACCCCGACAGCCTGAAAGACAAGGTTAGTACTCGACTGTTTACCGTTGATCGCGTGCAAGCGTTGGACCGTCAGATTCCACTTGGCGATATTATCCTGACGCTCTGTAACATAATCATCATGATTTGGTCATGTGCATGCCGTTGCAGAGATCACAGGAAAGCGAAGGATAATGCACGAGAAGCTGTCTATGATGAACCGAGTCGGTCAGCAGATGCCACCAACGATACTTATCCCCCGGATGCCCCTTAACCAGGCCCTTGATTTTGTCAGTTCCGCACCCGTCACCGGATCCACCACTCGGTGGAAGGCAGCACCGCTGAGAAAGGGGGTGCGACCACGCTTCTTCAACTCCGTCTTCACTAGGTATTCGTAGAACATCTCCGGCGTAATCGCTGCCGGAACGCTCTTCAGCAGCACCTCGACCACATTCGGGTGAGTCGCATGTTCATGAATGTAGGCCGGGTTCTCCGGATGCTGCCAGTCCAAGAAGATTCTCTTCTCATTCAGCATCCGATGCTCAATTATGCGACATCAGACGTAGTTGGCATCTGACGCCTGCTGGAAGGTGACTTGCATCCTCCCAAAGCGCTTCTTCAACAGGTACGTAGGGAGCAAAACCTGACACCGCGTAGACGTCAGGACATGCGCCGACATGTATTTCCTCCACAGCGCCAAAAGTCCCTTAACAGTGTCAATGGTGCACGGGGCTTCTTCTTCGTACTTGATCGGGATCAATAAAGTGATCGAAAAGCCAGCGCGAGCTTCGATCTCCCCAGCCTTGACCAGATCAAGCAACTCCTCATGGTCATCACTGAGATAGCCATCATCCTCTTCTTCCTCCCCTTCTACAGGAATCTCTGGATCTGCGACCGGCGGCGTCACCTCATCCTTGTTGCCTTCTCCCTCCATAGTACTGTCGCTCCCACCCGCAACAGACTTCTCCGGGTTCGAGAACTTCAGCGCTTCAAGCTTCCTCAACAATGAGAGACGCCTACCGTCAGCGAACGGGCCCTCTACATCCTTCAGCAGTAGTTTCGGCGTCGCAGGTTCTGACTGATGGCCCTTAGACGCTGAGACGCGGACATCACTACCCGGAGTTATTGGTAAGCCTCGTCATATGAGCACAAAAGTGGTATCCTCATATTCCAATTTCCATTTAGATCCCAAAACCGTCTAAATATATCGCAACTGACAAGAAATTGAGTGACATTGGGCCTTGTAAAGAGCCTGACATAATCCATGGCGGAGAGCTACCTCACATCACTAGCTGGAGCTACCTCGTTCATGTACGAATAATGCAATCATATTAGGCTGGGTAACAGTGACCCATTGGTCCTGGAGGACAGAGGTAGCCACCAAGTTCTTAGCGAACGAGGGGAGGTGGAGACCTGTGAGGAGGCCGGAAGGGGCCGCCGGACACGGGAGAACAGTAGAGCCGCGCGCGACTACCGGGCCACCTGAGGGGTCGGCCATTGTGACAGGGACAGGGGCTGTGAGCGGTGTGACTGTGGTGCTGTCGCAGAAGAAGCAGCGAGACGCGCCTGGGTCGAGAGTAAAAGTGTGCAAGGCCTTCTCAGGCTCTGCACCTGCGCTAGCTGAGTCAAAAGCACCAAGACTAGTAGCCTCTACCCTAGCAACTCTAGGCATACACGAGTAACAGTCATCCTCAACACTAGCAGAAGCAGCACACATTGCATACATGCCAGCATGGATCTCGGCCCAGTCACAAGCAAAAACATCTATGTCCTTCTTAAGCAAGGCTAACCCGTCTGGAGTCGTCATGTGCTCACCATGCTACGCACGATACAGATCGTCGAGGCGAAAGAAGCAGCGAGGCTCCGTGTGGTCGGTGCGAGTGCAAGTCGCTCCAAGCTGACCTCTGCGACGGACGTACCCGCAGCGAGCTGGGCCTCCTGAGCTGCCACGCCGGATCGCCCACTCACGAAGCTGCTGCGGCGAGAGCGGCACCTATCGACTCAGCTGCTGCTGCTGACCACCCCCAGAGCCACCTCCACCACCGCTGCACCACCAGACGCAACTGTACGAGTGGCAGGACCTCCAGCTCCTCCTCCGCCAGCTCCACTCCGAGTGCCACCCCCACCCCCTCCACCACCCCCACTGCTCCCACCACCCCCTCCTCCTCCTCTGCCGCCTCCACCTCCTCCTCCCCCACCACCACCACCCCCACCACCACCACCGCTACCCCCGCCACCCCCACCACCCCCACCACCCCCACCCTTGCCACCCTTGCCCTTGCCGCTGCGGCGCCTCCCACTAGGAGCAGACACAGCACCAACCTCCTCAGCACCAAAGAGGTCCACAGCAGCAGCAGAGGCAACAGACGGCGCGAGCAGGGAGGGGGAGAACCTCTCAAAGACAGAGGGGAGGGGAGTGCCACGAGAGGCAGCGACGGCTAGGGCGGCGGACTCAGCCTCTAAGAGACGGGACTCAAACGAGGCGAGGGTGATCTTCGTGGGGTCTAGAGCGAGGAAGTGGTCGCGTACAGCACAAAGGGAGTCAGGGAGGCGGGTCTTGAGAAAGTAGAGGGTGAGGTACATGGGTGGCTTGTTCTCAGCCAGAAAGGCGGGCTCGAGGGCGGCAGTGTAGCGGGTCTCAAGGGAGCGCAGGTGAGTCAGGAGGTCGGCTACAGTGGTGAAGTCTGACAGCTCAGGAAAGAGGAACGGCAATGACAGGCGGCCTACAGTGGCAGACGACGGGGACGAGTAGCGTTTGAATACATCGTCGTAAAGCGCCTTGTCTGTCTTAAGCTGGCGAAAGTGGGTGCGCTGGTCTAGCGGAAGGTGACTACGGACAGCAAGAGCGGCAGTAGCATCACGAGAAGTCCACCTGGACCGGTCTACACGGTCAGCTGAGGCAGCAGGGGCATCGAGTGACCCCGAGGTATGCTCAAAGAGAGAGACACCCTCCCTAGTAAAGCTCTGCTGGTACCAGTGGAGATCCTCTAGCCAGGACTCAAAGTCTACCGGGTGGCCCTCGCTGTCAAAGGTGAGCACAGTTGGGGTCGACATAGCAGCAGTAACGGTAATGGCAGCAGTAAGGGGCGGCTCAGTAGGGCGGCTCGGTTGGGCGGCTCGGCAGGGCGGCTTGAACGGGCGGCTCGACTAGGCGGCTCGGTACGGCAGGTCGGCTGGGCGGCTCGCAGGCAGCAGCAGCAGGCGCGCTAGCTGGCGGTGCAAGCAGCAGTAGCAGGTAGCGCGGGCAGGGCAGGGCAGGGGCGCGAGCTGGCGGTGCAGCAGTGCAGCAGGGGCACTAGCCGGCAGCGTGACAGCTCAAGCGGGGCAGGGCAGGGGAGCGAGCGGGCGGCGCAGCGCAATGCGCGGGCGGCTCAGGCAGGGCGCACGCAGGCAGCGTAGGGCAGCGCGAGCAATGCAGCGGGCAGCGGACGGCGGGCCAGCAGCGAGCAGGCAGCGCGGGCGGCATTGGGCAGCGCGGTCGATGTGCGGGCAGCGTGCGGGAAGCGCGAGCAGCGTGCGAGCGGCGTGTGGGCAGCGCGGGCAGCGCGCGGGCAGCGTGCGGGCAGCGCACGGGCAGCGCGAGCAGCAGGCGGGCGGGCGCACTAGGCAGCGCGACAGCGTGCGGCTTTGGGCAGGGCAGCGCTACAGCACGCTGGGCAGGGCAGGGCAGCGGCTCGATGGCGTGCTGGGCAGGGCAGAAACGATGGGCCGGGCAGGGGAAAAATAACTGCCGGGCAGAGCGGAACGAATTCGGTGGGCCCTAAAAAAAATCGGTCCTAAACCGGGACCTACTCTGAAACCATGTCAAACTAAGAATCAATGCATTAGGTCAAAGGGGGGTACAAGTACAAGATGGAGAGAAGTGTTGTACCCCCTAAGGCTAAACCCACTACAGCCTAGTACATTATAAATATACAATGTTTGACAATACACATTTGTATGTGTACATTATAAGCTATAATGGCCTGTACTATAGTGGGTATATGTTTCCTACATATCCCAATTGTATGCCTCTCTTTCTAGTCATTCTCATTTCGTAACATTATGCAGGTGGGAGGTATCAGGCAGGCGGGAGGTGTTATGCAGGTGGGAGGCATCAGGCAGGCGGGAGGTGCTATGCAGGTGGGAGGTGCAATGCAGGTGGGAGGTGCAATGCAGGCGGGAGGTCCTCAGGCAGGCGGGAGGTCGGTGCCGTCGTTGAGAGCACAGCACACAACAGCCTTCTGGTGGCCCTGGTACACTCGCACACAGTTGCCCGTAGCCAGCTCCCACAGCCGCAACGTGCCATCCGAGGAAGCTGTGTGGAGGGTGGGGTGGGGAAGTGGAGCGAAGGGTCGGGGGGAGGGGGGGAGGGAGGGGCGGGCGGGAGGCTGAGAGAATGAGGTGTCTCTGGTACACTAGTAATCAGGTGCGGGTTCGTAGCTCCCACACGCGCTGCTGCTGCCTAGCTCCCTCAGGCGGCGACATACACCATACCTGGTGCTGCAATGTGCGAGGCGGTGAGAGAGAGGAAACGGAATGGTCAATTGCCGTAGCAGCATGAAAGGAATCCTCCAGCATGAAATGAATCCTCCAGCATGAAAGGAATCCCCCAGCATGAAAGGAATCCTCCAGCATGAAAGGAATCCCCCAGCACGAAAGGAACCCTCCAGCATGAAAGGAATCCTCCAGCATGAAAGGAAAACCCTCCAGCACGAAAGGAACCCTCCAGCACGAAATGAATCCCCCAGCACGAAATGAATCCTCCAGCACGAAATGAATCCTCCAGCACGAAATGAATCCTCCAGCACGAAATGAATCCTCCAGCACGAAATGAATCCTCCAGCACGAAATGAATCCTCCAGCACGAAATGAATCCTCCAGCACGAAATGAATCCTCCAGCACGAAATGAATCCTCCAGCACGAAATGAATCCTCCAGCACGAAATGAATCCTCCAGCACGAAATGAATCCCCCAGCACGAAATGAATCCTCCAGCACGAAATGAATCCCCCAGCACGAAATGAATCCTCCAGCACGAAATGAATCCCCCAGCACGAAATGAATCCTCCAGCACGAAATGAATCCTCCAGCACGAAATGAATCCCCCAGCACGAAATGAATCCTCCAGCACGAAATGAATCCCCCAGCACGAAATGAATCCCCCAGCACGAAATGAATCCCCCAGCACGAAATGAATCCCCCAGCACGAAATGAATCCCCCAGCACGAAATGAATCCTCCAGCACGAAATGAATCCTCCAGCACGAAATGAATCCTCCAGCACGAAATGAATCCTCCAGCACGAAATGAATCCTCCAGCACGAAATGAATCCTCCAGCACGAAATGAATCCTCCAGCACGAAATGAATCCTCCAGCACGAAATGAATCCCCCAGCACGAAATGAAATGAATCCTCCAGCACGAAATGAATCCTCCAGCACGAAAGGAATCCTCCAGCACGAAAGGAATCCCCCAGCACGAAATGAATCCTCCAGCACGAAATGAATCCCCCAGCACGAAATGAAATGAATCCTCCAGCATGAAATGAATCCTCCAGCATGAAATGAATCCTCCAGCATGAAAGGAATCCCCCAGCATGAAAGGAATCCTCCAGCATGAAAGGAATCCTCCAGCATGAAAGGAATCCTCCAGCATGAAAGGAATCCTCCAGCATGAAAGGAATCCCCCAGCATGAAAGGAATCCCCCAGCATGAAAGGAATCCTCCAGCATGAAAGGAATCCCCCAGCATGAAAGGAATCCTCCAGCATGAAAGGAATCCTCCAGCATGAAAGGAATCCTCCAGCATGAAAGGAATCCTCCAGCATGAAAGGAATCCCCCAGCATGAAAGGAATCCTCCAGCATGAAAGGAATCCTCCAGCATGAAAGGAATCCTCCAGCATGAAATGAATCCTCCAGCATGAAAGGAATCCTCCAGCATGAAATGAATCCTCCAGCATGAAAGGAATCCTCCAGCATGAAATGAATCCTCCAGCATGAAAGGTACCGGGAGTGCATGCCACGAAGGCGCTGCACTGACGGGTGACCAAGGCGGTGGTGCCAGAGGACGGTCTCGTGCGCCAAGGAGCGACACGAGCAGGGGGCAGACAGCTGACCTGACGCAGACGCAGACGCAGCTACCTGAGGGGACTCAGTGGTCAGTGTGTACAGGTCCGACCCCGGCTGCCGAGTGAAGGTAGCCAGGTGGCGACCCGTCCGAGCACACGTGCAGTGTGTCACGCGCTCGTAGGCAGGGGTGAACTGGTGGACACCCCCGTCCTGGAGCGCACGACCCGCCACCAAGTTCGTAGAGAACGAGGGGCGGTAGAGACCTGACAATGTGCCCGACGGGACCGCAGGACAAGGGAGGACAGTGGAGGAGGTCGCAATGACCGGACCCCCAGAGGGGTCAGCGAGGGAGACTGCAACCGGCCGAGCAAGCTGCTCAAGGGCAGTGCGGTCACGGAAGAAACAGCGGGAAGCACCTGAGTCCAGTGTGAGGGTGTGCAGTGCCTCAGTAGACGCAGTACCAGAGGGCGCAGACTCACGAGTACCTAGAGCAGCAGCCTCACCAGCACCTGGGGCAACAGACACACTAGCACCTAGAGCGGCAGCCTCACCAGCGCCTGAGGCAACAGACACACGAGCACCTAGTGCGGCAGCCTCACCAGTACCTAGAGCAGCAGACTGGATACCGGGGTCAGGCGGCACACACAGGTGACAGGCTCCCTCGGCACTAGTAGACAATGCATACATTGCAGTGAGAATAGCATCATAGGCAAGAGCAAAGATATCTACCCTCTGTCCAAGTAGCTCCACCCAGTCGGGGAGCTCAGCGTCGTCGCCAAACTCTGTACGCCAAGCGTCAGTCAGACGGGCGAAGCAGTGGGACTCTGTGTGACCACGCGTCCCGCAAGGCTGACCAGTCCGGGCACCCGTGCTAATAACGTACGGGCAGCGAGCAGTACTCAGCGACCCTCTACTCTGAGCGTACCACTCACGAAGCTGCTGGGGCGAAAGAGACTCGCGCGGACGACGCTGCTGCTGCACCGGGCCACTACAAGAAGCTCCCGAACTACCCACTCCAGGACGACTCCCACTACGGCCACCCCGACAACCCCAACTGGCGTACCACTCACGAAGCTGCTGGGGCGTGAGGGACACACGCGGACGGCCGTGGAGCTGCATCTGGCCACGCCAGGAGCAGCAGTAGCAGCATTAGCGGCAGTAACAGCAGTAGCAGCAGGAGCAGTAAAAGCAGTAGCAGCAGTAGCAGCAGGAGCAGTAAAAGCAGTAGCAGCAGTAGCAGCGGTAGCAGCGCGGGCAGGGCAGTGCTCACCAGTGGTGGGAAGGGCAGGCGCAAGACGGCGGCGACAGCGGGGCCGCTACAGCTGTAGGGCGGGGCCGGGCCGCGGCAGGGAGCTCCGCGGCAACTGCTGCAGGGCGGGGTCGGGCCACGACGGCGGCTGCTCCAGGGGCCAGGGGCGGCTCCTGCAGTGGCGGCTGCTCCAGGTGGCCAGGGGCGGCTGCTGCAGGGGCTGCTGCTCCAGGGTCCATGGGCGGCTGTAGGTGCGGCTGCTCCAGGGGCCACGGGCGGCTGCTGCAGTGGCGGCTGCTCCAGGGGCCAGGGGCGGCTGCTGCAGTGGCGGCTCGGCTGGGGCGACGCGACGGGCTGGGGCAGCCCGCAAGGGCGACGCGACGGGCTAGGGCAGCCCGTAAGGGCTATGCGACGGGCTAGGGCAGCCCGCAAGGGCGACGCGACGAGCGAAGGCAGCCCGCAGGGGCGACGCGACGGGCTAAGGCAGCCCGCAAGGGCGACGCGACGGGCTAGGGCAGCCCGTAAGGGCGACGCGACGGGCTAGGGCAGCCCGCAAGGGCGACGCGACGGGCTAGGGCAGCCCGCAAGGGCGACGCGACGGGCTAAGGCAGCCCGCAGGGGCGACGCGACGGGCTGGGGCAGCCCGCAAGGGCGACGCGACGGGCTAAGGCAGCCCGCAGGGGCGACGCAACGGGTTAAGGCAGCCCGCAAGGGCGACGCGACGGGCAGGGGCAGCCCGCAAGGGCGACGCGACGGGCTAAGGCAGCCCGCAGGGGCGACGCGACGGGCTAGGGCAGCCCGCAGGGGCGACGCGACGGGCTAAGGCAGCCCGCAAGGGCGACGCGACGGGCTAGAGGTAGCCCGCAAGGACGACGTTTTTTTTTTTTTTTTTTTTTTTTTTTTTTTTTTTTTTTTTTTTTTTTTTTTTTTTTTTTTTTTTTTTTTTTAACGACGGCGCTAGAAGGGGCGCTCGACGGCGCTAGAAGGGGCGCTCGACGGCGCTAGAAGGGGCGCTCGACGGCGCTAGTAGGGGCGCTCGACGGCGCTAGAAGGGGCGCTCGACGGCGCTAGTAGGGGCGCTCGACGGCGCTAGTAGGGGCGCTCGACGGTACTAGAAGGGGGCGCTCGACGGCGCTAGTAGGGGCGCTCGACGGCGCCGCGGAACGGTGGGCCCAAACCAACGTCGGTCCTAGGTCCTGACCTAGGCGTCGGATACCATGTTAGAAACTAGAAGTGAACGAGAATGATTGAACTAGGAAAGTTGGGAGTACAAGTATGAAACCCTAGAGATTGTACCCCCTAAGGCTAAACCCACTACAGCCTACACAGCACAAACATATACAATGTTTGACACTGGAGGTACTACTGGAGGTGCTGTTGGAGGTACTGGAGTTAGTGGTGCTAGTCGGCAGGAGTCGCTCTCGCCGCTGCAGCTTCGCGAGTGGGCTGTTCGTTGGGGCAGTCCCGGTGGTGGAGCTGAGGGCACTGGTTCTGGGGGTGCTGTTGCTACTGGAGCTGGAGGCACTGGTTCTGGGGGTGCTGTTGCCACTGGAGCTGGAGGCACTGGTTCTGGGGGTTCGACTTCTCAGCCGCAGCCGTCTGCGCTTAGTCGCCTTCTCAGTCTCCCGCCTGCTGCTACTGAGTTCCCGGTTCCTGGTACTACTCCTCCGCTACTGTTCCCACCGACTGACCAGTCTCAGCCACAGCTACTACCTGGCTACTCGCTGCCTGCTCCTGCTCCTCACACAGCGGTCATTGCGTCCCTGACAGCGCGTCGTGAGCCTGAGACTCGTGCTTCCACTCCTGAGCGTCGTGAGACTGAGACTCGTTCTTCCACTCCTGTTCACGATCATCGTGTTGTCCGTCCTCGTGCTCCAACTGTGCCAGGCACTCACCGTATGGCACTTCGTCCTTCCTATGTTCCACAGCGTGTTGTGCTGTTGTCTCCCCCTGCGTCTTCTCTTCCTCACGTTCCTGACCCTGCGTCAGACCTTGTCCGTGCTGCCAGTCCGACTGTCACTCGTCTCCTTGCCACAGTTGTGACTGACCCTTCCTTTGAGTCTGCTACTACGTCTGCCTTAGTTGCTGAACTTGTTGACTTTGCTGCTTTGTGCCGCCTTGACTACGCTGCAAGTCTTGTTTTTGACTATTCCTGTCCTCCGTCCGTCGGGGGTGAGCTTGCCCTTGGCTGTGACGTTCTTGAGGACAGGCAGTTTGAGCTTGAGTGTTTTGCGGCCGCTGCACCGCATCTCGCGTCCTCGCTACTTTGCCCTGAGGGAGACCCGGATGCACTGGACATCCCGACCCCACGCACTTACGCAGAGGCGATCACGTGTCCGTACTCCTCTCAGTGGCAGATAGCCATGGACGCAGAGATGGCTTCCTGGAAGTCCACAAGCACCTACGTCGACGAGGTTCCCCCACCTGGGGCGAACATAGTCGATGGCATATGGATTTTCAGGGTGAAGCGGCCGCCGGGTTCTACGCCTGTCTTCAAGGCGCGTTACGTTGCTCGAGGCTTCAGTCAGCGTGCGGGGGTCGACTTCTTTCAGACCTTCTCCCCCACCCCGAAGATGACCACTCTTCGGGTGCTACTGCACGTTGCAGCACAGCGAGACTACGAGCTGCACTCCCTCGACTTCTCGACAGCCTTCTTGCAGGGTAGCCTTCACGAGGCTATCTGGTTGCGCCGTCCACGTGGCTTCACTGGGTCGTTTCCTGAGGGTACCCAGTGGAGTCTTCGGCGACCAGTCTACGGCCTTCGACAGGCACCCCTCGAGTGGCATGACACACCGAGGACTACACTTGTGGCTCCTGGCTTCGCTCCCTCGACTGCTGACCCTTCGCTGTTTCTGCGCACAGACACTTCTCTGCCGCCGTTCTACGTTCTTGTGTACGTTGACGACTTGGTTTTTGCTACTGCTGACACTGAGGCTCTGGCCTTGGTGAAGGCGGAGCTGCAAGAGAGACACACTTGCACTGACCTGGGTGAGCTGCGAAGTTACCTTGGCTTGCAGATCACCCGGGACAGAGCACGCCGCACCATCACCCTCACTCAGTCACACATGGTGCAGCAGGTCCTTAAGCGCTTCGACTTCACGTGGTCCTCGCCACAGCCCACTCCTCTGTCTACCGGCCACTCGCTCTCAGCTCCACCTTCGGACGAGTCCGTAGAGCCGAGTGGTCCGTACCCAGAGCTTGTGGGTTGCCTCATGTACCTGATGACGTGCACACGACCTGACCTCGCGTACCCTCTCAGCCTCCTGGCTCGCTACGTGGCTCCCGGTAGGCATAGAAAGATGCACAGGGATGCTGCGAAGAGGGTATTGCGTTACTTGTGCAGTACATCGGGCATGGGGCTCGTGCTTGGAGGACCAGGTTCAGTTGTTCTCACCGGCCACTCAGACGCTTCTTGGGCTGACGACCAGACGACTCATCGATCGACTCAGGGGTACAGTTTCAGTCTCGGCGCTGGCTCTGTCTCGTGGAGGTCCACTCGCTCTTCTTCTGTACTTAGTTCCAGCTATGAGGCTGAGATCTACGCTGGGGCTATGGCTGCACAGGAGCTGCGGTGGCTGACCTACCTGCTGACCGCACAAGCGTAGCCGTGCACACCTAGTCCCCCCCTTTCCTAGGCCGCAC